TTGCATGTAAACATAGCTACTGACTGTGACATGGCACTTCTCCTGAAGAGGCTGCACAATTTGAGGTATCATTCATGTTTGTTGTGCAGACAGTCTGGGAGTTACACACTGAAGTATAATATGGTTTGGTGTTTGTTTAAATCTCTGAATCAAATAGTAATAATATGCCTTAGCAAGTATTACTAATAATAAATTGAATATAAATGGAAATGTGTGAGTCACAAAGCTGTATACTATGTGTGCACTATGGGTAATACATCAGTTGCCTGACACTTTTAAAAGCTCTTTTGTCATTTGTCACTATGTTCTTACATCCATACACAAACGAGTTACCTTCAAGCAAGCAAAACACATTTTACATAGTCAGCTCCATTCTAAGGGCCTGCTCACATATCGTGTCTTTTGCGCGCTCAAGTTCGTTATTTCAAACATAGACATAATAAATACATAGATGCCCTATTGGCCGCTGGAGCGTCCGTCAACGGCGCCGCCATATTGCGGAGGGCAACTTTCTCATACTTCTCATAGCGAGAATTGAGATAAATGCCTCTTTCGTGCGCTGTTTGGGGCTGTACAAATCGCCACACAATTGAAAACGGGTCTCGAGGAATTATCTTTCACAAGCAAGACTGAACATTTGTTTCTGGTTGTATTTGGTCATGATATAATTAGTAATAGTAACATCCAGAGGAGAAAAGCCGCGAAATGTAAAAATACTACTGTTATTGTGTCACGAAATGTAGTTTTAATAGTTTTTCAGTCAACAATGTAGTTGTTTATAGCTCAAATCTGTGGGTTATTTATAAAGATAGCGCCTATTTAAAAATGTGATCTGACGTTTTCGGAGTTGTGAGATCCAGGCGTTCACCGGGCGCTCAGCGCTCATGTACCCCGCCTGGAACAGCCTTACCTCAGCTAGTGCTTCTGACGTTTGCCGCTGGCTCTGATGTCTCTAGTCTAGTGGTTAAACATGAGATATAATTCGTCTTGTGTATATCTAACGGGCGATCTTTGGTCTTACAAAAAGAGACAGGGTTGTGACATTTTATTTTATATAGCCTATGTAGGAATATTTTAAAATATATAAATTATTTTATATATATACATTCTCTTCACTGTATGTAGGCCTATATAAAATAAAATTACACAAATCTTTTTGTTAAATGTCAGTTTAATGATCAATATTATCATGTTTCATTTTTTTTTTCATATTGTCTATATTATTCTGCAATTGATATTACATTGTATTTGCTGTTCTTATTATTATTGTAATATTATACCACTTGCAATTATCAATCTATTACAGCTATGCTGTTAAATGATTGTACTATTCATAGTCACTATTTAACTTATTATTTTTTATTGTCTATATACTGTAATTGATATTTCTTATTCCATTGCTATTATTATAGTATTATACATAAAGTATATGCTATTATACATTTTTGTATTATTATATTATGTACTTATGATATTATATAATTATACTATTCATTACTATTTTATTTGCCGTATACTGTTTGTTTATTTTATTGACTAAACTATTTACTATTACTTCTCACTTTATCTTATATTTACTATTTGCATTGCACTGTAGTTGTACCATATATGTATTACCATTTAAGGATCCATCAGTTATCTTTGTTATTGCTAAAATCGGGTCAATCGCAGAAAATGCTTTTTCCACAATAAGAAAACTTTATTTAATTGAATGTAAAAATTAAATTATATCTTCACAATTCTTATCCAAAAATAAAAAGCCAGATAGCTGACATGACAAGCCTGAGCTTTGACAATTCCTTATTAAAAAAAAAAAAGTTTTATAAGTCTAACTATCGAGATTTTAAATAACTAGAGATGGAACTTTTTGTACACCACGTACAAACCACTGAAATCAGTTGATAAATGTAATTTTATTTTTTATTTTTTATCCAGAAAAACCACAGCTCACCATTTACTTGCATTTGATTACAGTTAAGTGCAGTCTTGCCCTCCGCAAAATGGCGGACGCGTTGACGTATAACAGCAACGTTCCAAAGCGGCCAATAGGGCGTCTATGTATTTATTATGTCTATGATTTCAAATGTAGGCGCGCGGTATGCGCGCTCATAATGGAAGCGACGCGCTCGTTTTTTCCACGCGTCCGCGCCGCATCGAGATAAAAACATCTCAACTTTACAGAATGCCGCAAGCGCACCGTAGGTCACGTGACAAGAACCAACCGGAGCGCAACCGCCCTAGTGCTTTGGAAAAAGGAGAATGCGGCGCGCCTAGCGTTTTCTACGCATTTTTAGGCGCTATATGTGAATGGTGCCTAAGGCAGCATGCATGTAAAACAGCCTCATAAGTGATTTATTTATCACAAATCACAAGAGATTTGAAACACAATAGTCTGATGTTCACTAGTTACTAAGCTAACACAACAACAATATGCTAATATGAATAAAAGATAATACAAATATTAGCACACAAATATTAGGTAAAATTCATTTTTGAATGAATTGAATGAACATTTCTTCTTAGACGTATGCTGAATTCTCTTGATTCTCTTGAACTCTTATGTTTTTTTTACCATATCTTAGTAAAAATAGTAATAGAGGCATTTTTTCACTGAGCTTGTCGCAGTGAATTCTGGGACTGCTTTCTTCACAAAGGATACATGCCAATGTGAAGTTTCAGTGCCTCTGGAGTCAGCATCCTAGGTTTTGTAACAGAGCAAAAGTCTGAATGTACATAGAATTGGAATTTTTTTCCATTTTTACTTTCACTCAGTTTGTGTGTTTGTGAGTGTGTCGCTTTATTTGCATTGAAGCCGGCTATAGTAGAGCCGCTGGCAAGTCACTGTACATGAGTTCAAACGCGTAGGTTTGCTAGCTGCTGACTCAGTCACTCGTTTCCTCAGTCAATTATGCACATAATCCATGTAATGAGATTTCCAATGACATGGCGAAACATTAACCCTCTGGGCTTGCCTGTTGCCGCAATCACATCTTTCTAACTCTGACTTGTACTGCAGTGTAATAATACCATCATCATTTACCACAGGTCCTCACAGAGATGCACAAATGAACACACACATTGAGTGACTGGTTTTACCATGCTGTATTTCTAGAGTGTCTTTCACTCCGGTACAGACATAAACCATTATTTATACCACAATCTTCTGTAAACCACCATCATCACACCATCATCAGCTGTAAACTCATGATTTTATATTTACTTTGCATATTATACATTTTTATGTTACCCATATTTAATACAGTTTGGGTTTTTCTTGTACTTTGTGCTGTTATGTTAGTGACTTTTAGGAATGTGGGCATGTTGGCATCTGTCTAGTTTGCCTAGCATCTACCAAATGACAGCTAAATTTGATCTAAAATACCGCAGTGTTTATTTAGACATATGGTATTTAATGTCTACAAACATTGTCCTGGGTCCTTGTGATGGGGTGAGGGGTTTGGGGGGCATAAGAAATTGGCAGAGGGTGTCCACCCATACAAACTTGATTAAAAACTTTTTTTATGATCTTATTGCATAAAACATAAATAATTCATTTAATGGCCACTTTGCGTTTGAAGCAATAAAAGGTACTTTCTGCCTTTCAATGGGACATTTCAACTTTAATTACATCATTAGCACCCCACACAGTTTTACAGCTCAGTGCATCAGACATTACTGTAAAAAAAAAAAGATACATAATATGGTGGAGAAGTAGAAAAAGCACCACTTAAACTGTAAAGTAATGAGACAAAAACATTTTCAGCTTAGGAGTCCATGACAGTCTTTTAAAGCTGCTTTACTTGATTTCAGAAACCTGCCTGACACCACTTAAATTTAGAAATGTGGAATAGTTTTGGATAATGTGTGTGTTGATTGGTCCTTTTATATACATGCACTTAAAAATATTATAACAGAACTGTGCAATCCTGTAGCTCAGTGGGCTCTCTGTTCTCTTCTAGCCTTATGATGAATGTCATGCTCCATACACTTAACCAAACCGTTACTGTCTTGCCATGTAGATAAACGCAAGATAATGTAAATGAAGCAATTCGATTTTCTATAGTTTGTAAATTATTTCTGCACACAGAATGTCCAGGAAAATGTGTCTGGTTGGAGGTGTGTGTGTATATATATATATATATAAATATTTATATAACATTTACACAAATATGCTACGTTAAACCGTCCCTTTTATTATTGAATATTGTATTAATTTCTTAGGTTTTTAGGATATTTGAGGCCTTAAAAGAAACATTTGTTAATAAAGGCAATGCTGGTGTAGGTTTTATTTTTCCATATTTAAATTTTGATTTTAGTTTTAGTCATTTTTTGGTGCTTTTGTAATTTTTGTTAATTTTTAAAAAGTATTTTAAATAATATAATATTTGTAATAATATATATATTTTTATTTTAGTTTTACATAAATAATAATTTCAGTTATTTGCGAATGCAACATTCTCATTAAATTTTTTTAAGTTTAAGGTTTTTGTCTAATATTTATATTTTATTTTTATTTCAGCTTTATTTAAATAAACATTTTTTTTTCATAAAAGGAAAAAAAAGGAATAAAAAAAATAAAAAATAAATAAATAAATAAAAATAAAAAAAAATAAACATTTTTTTTTAAATAGTTTTAGTTAACAATAACAACACTGTTTAAAATTTTAAGATTTATGTTCTTTGTTATTCCATACTTTGTTGCTAACTAAAATTAGGACTGCATTATAAAAGGAAACCCAATCTGTTACACATATTAATTCTGATGGTTTTCAGTTCAAAAGACAAACACACTAGATTCACTATTTATGTAATCAATCAGCGTTGGACAAATGAAATGGATGTATTCACACAGACCGTAATCACTGTGACACGCCAGCAGTTATTGACAAATGTTGCCAGTTCAAATCCTACAGTCTTACGCCTTGAAGAGCCACCAGCCTAGCCCTTTTCTGTGCTGGATCAATAACATGAAAAATTGTTTGATGTTTTTGTTTTTTTAGGCTGGAGTTTCAGTATGGGCTCAGCTTATCAGTTCCACAGCTGGAGGGTGTTTGTGGTGGTGTGCGCTCTTCCCTGCCTCTGTGCCGTGGTGGCTTTAATGTTCATGCCGGAGAGCCCGAGGTTCTACTTGGAGGTAAGTAGAACATTTTCGTTATAGTTGTGGTGTGGACTTCACTATTCTTTTACATTTAGAATGATTTTTAGAACTATATCTTTATCGTCAGTGTTGGGGACAGTTACTTTTAAAAGTAGTGCATTACCAGGGGTGCACATAACTGGTGCGCAGGTGCATATGCATGGTAAAAATAAACTATGCGCAGCAGAAAACGTGGAGAGAAGCACTTTTGAGTACCAACATTTTTGGCATTTTTTGGGACAGTGGCACGTTTACTTACTGTTGTAGGATTTTTCTCCATCTCTGGTAAGATAGCAATCATGATGATAATTGTGTTCAATGATTATTAGGGGTGCGATGGATCGCAGTTGATCCGTGATCTGTACAGACCAGGCCCCACGGTTCGGCACACATGTGATTCATGGATTAACTGCTAAGTTTAACCATCATAGAGTGAAAGTTTATCATTTGAACGTTTTGTCTTGCCAATTTACTAATTGAAACGATTTTAAACGTGGAATAAGAGGCGAAAATCTGGACTCGCGCACATACCAGAAGCGCGTGCACGCAGAGAGATAGAGAGAGGCGCATTTCAGACAGCGCTCGAACGCCGAATTGATTCCTCTTTCGCGTTTACTTGGGTTTGAACGGACAGAAACAAAATGATGTCAAAATACCCATCTCGGCAAGTATTCTCTTGGTTACGTCATAAGTGAACAGTTGAGAAAGAAACCGGATGTATGTCAGTATGTTCGGTCCGTGCATTCGGTCATGAAGTGACAGCAGCCTAATATTCCTGCTGTTGTCTGTGCCATTAATGTTGATAAAATAAAAAAAACATCATCATCATCTACCATGTTCGAGAGAAAAGAAGATAGTCGGGAGGAAAGTGATGACGACAGGTTGAAAAGTAAAGTGTGAGTACCAAGCAGCATCTCCAGGTGCTCCCTTGAGAACCAGACCCGAAAAGTTATGTGCACCCCTGTGCATTACAGTGTTTCCCACAGGATTTTGTGTATGTGTGTAACGCAGTTCAGATGTTATGGGAAGAAGGATGCGGGAACCAGCGAACATTTAAAGATTTTAATAAAATAAATAAACAAATACAAAAACGAAAGTAAAGACGGCAGTTCCTCACAGTCGACTGCCGCCACGCATAATAAAACAAAACATCAAATAATATAGTCCAGGCCTTGCCTCTCTCGAGCTCCACTGTCGTCGCTCCTCCTTTTATGCTTCCGCTCCTCCGTGAGAGATACGAGCCTGGTGCGGCGTGCAGGTGTCGCTCATTAGTAATCACGCCACCGGCCTCGTGCCGGCCTCCCACGGCCCTCGACCTCGTCCTGCTCGCCACAATGTGGTGGATGGACCTCGGTATGTCCCCTGTCAGAAAATTTTGTAAATTTTAAAGTTAAATTCATCAATCTGGTGCACTTTGGCAGTTCAAAATTAAGAGCTCCAACCTGTATTCAGTGTGCAAATCGAACAAAGAAAAAGTCTGTGCATTGACTTGTACCTGAACTTTAAAGAAGACTCAAACCTCTTTTTAGTTGTGATATTGTCTGCATCCGAAAACTGATAAATGATCCCTTCAGAGGACGCATTCCGGGGGGCAGATGGATCTGTGAATCGAAGGGAGGTGTCTATGTCGGGGAGGGGGGGGTATTATTATTACTAAAACTATTATTACTAATATTATAAATCACTAATGCTAATCCTATTATTATCATGAATATTATCATCGTTACTACTACTAATACCACTACTACTATTATTGTTATTATTATTAGTATGATTACTACCTCCACTACAACTCTACTACTATTACTATTATTGTCTTAAATTGTCTCTATCTATACCTATATCACTAAAATATTCAATTACTTACCAATGTACCTGCATACACCACTATATCGATATCTATATTTAGCTGTTTTCTCTCTCTTTGTTTTTGTTTTGTTTTAGTTTTTTCTCTCTCTCCTGTATGTATATGTATGTCATTGATTTTAGGGCTGCAACAACTAATCGATAAAATCGATAATAATCGATTATGAAAATCGTTGTCAACGAATGTCATTATCGATTAGTTGGTCTGCTTACGTCACGGGGAGCGTTTACTGGTGATTGGTTGAAACAGGCCAATCAGGATGCTCTCTGTCTTACACGCGCTTCATGAGGCACACACGCAAGGTCTCTCCATAGACAGTATAAGAAGTGGACAGAGCCATCTCATTGGAACTCAGTTGAGACAGTTGAAGCCCATTTTTAGCGATTTCTGAGCACTTCCGTTCCTGACGCGCAGACTCAAACCAACTCAAACTAAGCTTGATGACGTGAGCAACCTGTCTGACAGACGTTACTCTTCTAGTAGCTGTGCATGAAAATTGCCAACGTTAATCTTGCAGAGACGGGGAACTTGAGCAAAGAGTTCTTTGGCGTGAGTGAGCAGGAGTAAGTATTCCGTTGCTTTTATGGACTCATTATCTATGGGCTTCTCCCTTGACGGGACGTCCCCCCGATTGCCTGCGAGCTTCTCCTCCTGTCTGTACGGTAATTTCTGTACAGCGCGACAGAGAGTCGAGTGGTTATGACGCAATCGTTAGCCTATTTTTACTAAAACTGTTTCTACGGGGCCATAATGTAACATAGAAGGTAATGGAGCACTTTATACATTGTCGTGTTTCTTTAGAAATAAATAATGGACAAATGGAGTCTTTAAACGCCTCAGATGTAAAGTTATTCGCTGTCAAAGTGACGCCAAAATGAATGGGAGTCAATGGAAATGCTAACGCAAGCACTGTGAACTGAGCTGATCATGTGCGTATCGCATAAGCGAACTGCGCACTTCTCTTTGCGAAACGCCACAAAGCCTTATCGCGCTTTCGATTGAAATTTTTTTGACAGCATGGGCACAAAACACGACATTAAAGACCTTTTATGTTACTGTATTATGAGAAGTTTAAATATATTTTCGGGCCGCCACAGTCTAGTTAATAAATGGGAAGCACTGAAATCTGTTTGTGGCGGTCAATGTTGATATTGTGGCGGGCCTCCACAGATAAATCAATGTATTGGAAACACTGCATTACAATATTGTGTTACTCCATAAAAAAGTAACTAATTGTGCTACTTAGTTACTTTTTATGGAAAGTAAATCATTGTTACTTTTGCGTTAGTTTTTCTTATCTGGGCTGGGCTGTTTGTATTTTTAAACAAAAAGTTCTTTTTTGGCAAATGTAAAGGCCCTTTCACACCAAAAGTCAAAAGATGAATAAGCCTAAGGCTGAAGAAAATGCAAATTTCCACCTGTACAGTAGAGGGCACAGCTCAAACAAACCTTTCAGCTGTGCTGCTATTCTAAATTCCAGAAGAATAGGTAAGATGCAGGAGAAGAAAGTTCAAAAATCTTATTTTGACAAAAATATATAAATAAATTGAAAAAGATTGAAACACAAAATGTGATGTTTATCTAGTCATTTTGCTTATTAGCATGGTTGAATTGGATCATCATAGGTCAGCAGCAAAGACATTGCTTAATAAAGTGAGATTAAATACATAAAGTGTATTCTTTTAACATTAATTACTGCAGATTTGCGTAATATTTTTAGTTAGCATTTTACTGTTTGTATTCTTTTTAAGAATACTGAATGCTTTTGTGCAAGTGAGATGAGTAAATGCATGCTCACATTTAGTCTTGAACTACAATATCCATCAAGTTTACACATCGCACACAACGCCTCTGCACCTTACTCCCAATAGGGACTTTAAGCAACAGCCTCTGGTGGAACGGCAACGGCATTCTGTCGTTCTATTGCGCATGCGCGACGTTAACTGCTACTTCGCGACGTTCTACTGTAACCGTACTACGGGAGAACAGCTGATTTGCCGTAGTCGTTACTACGTGACAGATTAAGAAAGTTAATGTTATGTTTTAGGTTATGTGGCATTATAATCGTTTCTGTATATAATTAAATGCCAAAATCAACCCTTCTCTTGCTTTTTAAAATCACTTTATTTTTTTGTATTTTGTCTGATGATTAAATTATCCCCTATGCCGTCCTCTTTACTGTTGCTTAGTGATTTTTGCACTCTTTAGCTATGGCAGTTAGTTAACCGTTTAGCACTTCCGGCTGCCGTTGCCGTTCTATCAGCAGCTGTTGCTTAAAGTCCCTAATGTCTCTCAACATGGGGACAGGAGAGGTTTCAGTCAATAAATGAGATAACTATATAACTTGCTTTACTTATTTAAAAAAGTAACTCAGATATTTTATTGTAAATTGAACTACTGTTTTATTGCTAACTGCATGTTTACAAGAACATCAATTCAGTTTACATGACTTGAATGCCTTGAAAATCTGAGGAAACAGCTTGACTTAAGGGAACACGACTCTCTTTGAAGCTAATGACGCGTGCTTGTCGTGACTCCCTACGCCCCTCTCCCGGGCCTGCCGTGGCAATAGAGGTGGGCGGCTGTCATCTAGCGCTCTGGTTTCCACTTAATCCAGTTAATCTCTTAGGGATTTTTCTTATCCTTTCAGGTGGGAAAGCACGACGAGGCCTGGATGATCCTCAAGCAGATTCATGACACAAACATGCGAGCGCGTGGACAGCCCGAGAAAGTCTTTACCGTGAGTCGATTCCCTCACTGCACTAACTTTAAGCTGCTTAGAGCACCAACTATGCTTTAAAGCTGCATAAATTCATGAATGATTGTCTCATCCTTCCCTGTATGTGGGCTTCTTGGATGTTTTTGGTGTCATTAGTTTCAGAAATAGAGACAGATTGCAGACTGCATCAAGGCTTTGTGAGCAGCCCAATGATGAAGATCAAGCTGTCACATAAATTTGATACTCTAAATTTGATACCTTCTTAAACATATTCTTTCTTTTTTCTATTACAGTGGTCTTAAAGGAACACTCCGACTTTTTGAAACTTTAGCCTATTCACCTTATCCCCCAGAGTTAGAAAAGTCCATACATACCTTTTTCATCTCTGTGCGTGCTGTAACTCTATCTGACGCACCCCACCGCTAGCCTAGCTTAGCACAACGACTGGATGTGCAGCTAGCATACTAATCCAAATAAGTGACAAAATAGCGCAAACATTTTCCTATTTACATGTTGTGATTTGTATAATCACAGAATGTACAAAAAACAAAGTCACATGAGACACAGGCATATTTTAACCGTATAAATACTGGGAACTATATTCTCTGAAGGCGAAGCACTGCTACTTGGGCGGAGTGATAACCGCAGCACCTGAGACGCGCTCTCTGCTCCTCACCACGGCGCGTCTCAGGTGCTGCGGTTATCACTCCGCCCAAGTAGCAGTGCTTCGCCTTCAGAGAATATAGTCGCCTTCAGAGAATATAGTTCCCAGTATTTATACGGTTAAAATATGTCTGTGTCTCAGGTGACTTTGTTTTTTGTACACTCTGTGACTATACAAATCACAACATGTAAATAGAAAAATGTTTGCGTTATTTTGTCACTTATTTGGATTAGTATGCTAGCTGCAACCATTTACATCCAGTCTTTGTGCTAAGCTAGGCTAGCGGTGGGTGCGTCAAACAGACTTATAGCACGCACAGAGATGAAAAAGGTATGTATGGACTTATCTAACTCTGGGGGATAAGGTGAATAGGCTAAAGTCCCAAAAAGTCGGAGTGTTCCTTTAACACTTATTTGGATACTTAAAGGAATAGTTCACTGCAAAATGAAAATTCTGTCATTATTTACTCACCCTTAAGTTGTTTCAAACCTTTATGTATTTCTTTCTTCTATTGAACACAAAAGAAGATATTTTAAAGAATGTCGGTAACCAAACATTTGATGGACCCCATTGACTTCCATAGTATTTTTTTCTATAGAAGTCAATGGGGTCCATCAACTGTCTGGTTACCGACATTCTTTTAAAATATCTTCCTTTGTGTTCAGCTGAAGAAGGAAATTCATACAGGTTTGAAACAACTTGAGGGTGAGTAAATGAAAGAATTGTACTTTTTAAGTGAACCATTCCTTTTAAACATATTTCATTGCATTACATAACAAAATATACTTTTTTTTTTGGCAGACATTCTGTTGAATAAAGCCCATATGCCTTAGTCTTGTTTCTTTTTGTAGGTGAACAGAATTAAGATCCCAAAGCATATTGATGAGTTTGTCGAGATGCAAAATGAATCCGGCAACTCTTTCTCAAAAGCGATCTTCAGAATAAAGACTGAGCTTCATGGGGTGAGATTCACGATAAATTACAGGATACTTGTGATATTTTTATGATGCAAATGAAAATAACTCATTTTTTCTGTCCTTCCAGATTTGGTTGAACTTCTTGAAGTGTTTTAATTATCCACTGAAAGACATTACAGTGAAACTTGCTATTGTGTGGCTTACATTGTCATTTGGGTAAGACCTTCCTTTTTATGTCACCCATTCATCCATCCATCCATCCATCCATCCATCCGTCTTTAAAGAACTCCAATACTTCTGCAGGTATTATGGTTTATCTGTGTGGTTCCCTGACGTCATCAAGCACCTTCAGGCTGATGAATACGCCTCCAAAGTACAAAGGCATAACAGCGAACGCATTGAAGACTTCACCTTCAATTTCACCCTCGAGAACCAGATACACACTAATAGCTTATTTATAAATGACAGGTGACTTATTCAAATCCTTATGTCACAGTAATCTTCTTATAAATGTACTAAATCTTATTTTGTGTATGCCTGCATATTATTTCACACTGTAATTCATTTCCTATATTTGTTACTCAGGTTCTTAAGTATGAAATTCAAGTCCGTCACTTTCATCAATTCCACCTTTCAAAACTGCTTTTTTAAGCATGTGACATCGGTGGGATCTTTCTTTCGAGACTGCACATTTATTGATGCTGTCTTCTACAACACTGGTAATATTGTCATTTCTTTTTGAACGCAGAACAGACCACTTTTCTGCATTTTACCACTTTGCTACATGTTTGCTACTTTCTACTGTGGTTTAAATCTCATGAAATGAATTCATTCATTTGACAGATATTGACGATTCCAAACTGATAAACACAGACGTCATAAACGGCACATTTTACCACAACAAAACAGGCTGTCAAATGACGTTTGAGGATGATTATAGTGCATACTGGGTCTACTTTGTCAATTTCTTGGGAACACTGGCTGTTCTGCCTGGCAACATTGTGTCTGCACTTCTCATGGACAAAATTGGCCGCTTGTCTATGTTAGGTGAGACAGAAAAGTATGAGTACAAAATATATGAGATTTATACTTTTCATCATTGTGTGAAAGAATAGTCTGTAAGTGTTTAGTTTGTTTTGTCAGGGTTTTCCATGATCCTGTCTGGTATCAGCTGTTTCTTCCTGTGGTTTGGCACCAGTGAGTCAATGATGATTGGGATGTTGTGCCTATACAACGGGCTGAGTATCTCTGCCTGGAACTCCCTGGACGTTGTGACAGTAGAGCTGTTCCCTACGGACAGAAGGTGGGCTTGTTCTCATACATAATAAAATATGCTAACAGACACACAACAAAGCTCCCAAATCTCAAAGCCCATTAAATATCAATGTAACACCAACTTTTTACCTTTTTTCTCATCCATCCTCCCTCCCTCCACCTCTCTATTTCAGAGGAACTGGATTTGGCTTCTGTAATGCCTTGTGCAAGCTAGCTGCCGCGATGGGAAATCTGATTTTTGGATCTTTAGTTGGCATCACCAAAGCTATCCCTATTCTTATGGCCTCCTCAGTGCTTGTTGGCGGAGGTTTGGTGGGATTGCGACTACCTGACACCAGGTCTAATGTCCTCATGTAACCCTTGTATCAGAGGTCTGGAGAAACTCAAAAGGCTTGACTTAACCCTCATTAATCATCACGGTACATTGCGTACTTACATAAATGCATATACTGTTTCAGTGGTGTTTCTATATAGTCTGCTGAATGTTGGTGGCTCAAAACAAGATCCTTTTCAATTAGTCATCAAACAGTGGGTAAATATTTTGACAATCTTTACACTTTCCTTTTTGCAATAACACAACTTGTGCACCTACATACTGTACGGTTGATTCGACCAAAAACCCTTGTGTTTCCTTGTGGCTTTTCAAGGGTTTGTAACGGCCTAGGAATGGACGTGAGCATAAATATTAATGTCCCCTTATTAAGACTTGAGCAAAACAAGCTATTAATGAGCCGTCCAAACCTGCTGCAAATATGCAGAGATGATGATCAGATATGCCGAGAGCTCGGCGGCACAGCTGCATCACAGCTGGCTGACTGAACCCAGAGAGTTACTGAAGAGATGAGAGACTGAGACTGGTCTACTGGTAAACAACTCTTTATTCAGTGCCTAGTTTCAGAATTTGACTTTACATACTGAAAACATTATTGGACTAGGGTTTGCTATTAGAACAATTTCATTGAGTATTCATTTTTGGGGGTGTTATTTTTAACTATTATCATCAGTATTTTTATAATCACGCCTTTTGCAATGTACTCCAACCTCTGATGAAAAGGCCACACATGTGCACTGTACTCTCATGCTTTAAGTACATGTATAATATTCCCTTTAGCCAGATTTATGAAAATCCAAAATCTTATTTTGTGCTCTGCAGATACTTACAAGTGGAGTATATTTTGCTCTTAAGCTTTATATTGTAAGCAACAAAGTCCATTTTATTTCATGTACAACAGACACGTGTTACTGTATCTGACTTGTTCTGCCACTTTGTGATTTGTCTAACAGCGAATGGCCTTTTGAAACTGTGCCTCTCCTACATACGATCATTATCACATATGAACATGAGGTAGCTGCTGTAATTGATATCAGAGTGTGTTTCTGCCACTGTCATTTATGAAAACCATCTTACAATCTGACAGAAAGGACTGATAAGAATCAGGCTGGTGATAAACCTCTTTTATGTACAATGTCAAAGACTCATCTTGTTGACACTTGGTGCAGAGGGAGTTTAGAGGGCCCGCCTCAACATATGGGGTCTACAATCTGTAGAGAGGGGAAGAGAGATGTGTTTGATAACCACATGACACATGATTCATTTACAAGCCAAGGGAAGAGAATTATGTGTTATTTGGTTGATTCTACATAATAATCCTTTTTATTTATCAAAGAATCCTGAACAAAAATGTACCGCTGTTTCCGCACTGTTTTCAACACTGATAATAGTAAGAAATGTTCCTTGAGCAGCATATCGGCATATTAGAATGATTTCTGAAGGATAATGTGACACTTTGAAATTCAGCTTTGCCATCACAGGAATGAAATACATTTTAAAATATATTAAAAATAGAAAACAGTTATTTTAAATTTAAAAAATAGTTTATAATATATAACGGTTTTACAATCAAATAAATAAGAGATGTATTTAAAAAACATTTAAAAAGCTTACTGACCTCAAACCTTTGAATGCAGTGGAACGGTTTTGTTATACAGTTGTATTTTATAGCCCATAGATAATGTCTTCATAATAATAACTATATACAGGTGAAACTTGAAAAAATTGAATATCGTGCAAAAGTTCATTTATTTCAGTAATTCAACTTAAAAGGTGAAACTAATATATTATATAGACTCATTACATACTAAGTGAGATATTTCAAGCCTTTATTTGTTATAATCATCAAAATTATAACAAATAAAGGCTTGAAATATCTCACTTTGCATGTAATGAGTCTATATAATTTATTAGTTTCACCTTTTAAGTTGAATTACTGAAATATATGAACTTTTGCACGATATTCACATTTTTCGAGTTTCACCTGTACTTGCCCCTAAAATGAAAAGTTCTTACAAGCCTCAGCAGTTTGATATGCTTAGCAGTAAAATATTTGTCAAGCCACATTTCAATGTCACATTTTACAGTTTAGCTTTTGCAGTCAGTGCCAAATAGAGTTTTCTGAATAACATAAATCAATAATGTTCAACTATTGTCTAGCTTTTGAAATGTTTTGAGAGGTCTACAATAAGAAAAAAGTAAGAAAAATAGACCTCACAAAGTATCACTGATGTTTTTAAAAAAATATCTAATTTGGCTTCCAACTAACCTGCTTAATGCTGTCTCAGTCTCAGCAAAGCTATGCAGTTTCGTAAAGGCATTATTTAGGCCTATAAATTATATAAAGATTATGGATATAAATAATAATTGCTTTAGGCCTACTGTCCTTGATCTAAGCCTGTCTTCATCTGAAAACCTTTTTTAATTATGTGTGCATATATTTTAGTGTTAACACTGTCTCAAATGATGTGTGTATGCTTTGTGAACAGTACATACTGTTTGTGTGTATATCTTTGTATGGGTAAATGTGTGCTTATCCGTGTATATTTTGTACATATTGTTACAGTGATCGACTCAAAAGCTGAATACTGTGTGTTTACATTTTTGGTGACTGCAATGGATGAAGCTTTAATGTATGTACATTGCTGAAACTTTCCATTGTTCATTTGTCATTGCAACACACTGTCCCTAAGATCCAGCCGTCCTGAGACATCGCTAATCAAAACTGCATGTATTAACCTTTTTGGGTGTGTGTGCTCATCTCTCCAAGAATGTCGCACTGTTGTGTTTCATGACAGAATAATTCAAAAGAATATAGCTGTCATATTTTGTGAAGGTAATAAAGATGTGTTGAAAAGTGTCTGAGCCTGTTAATCTGAAGGAAATCCTTAGAATGTGAAAAGGGGGAATTCAGGCCATGAGAAAAGACTGGCCAGATGTGACTGTTGTAGTGTCAAAAGATTCAATATCAGAAACGTTGTAAGTATTAAAGTGTGGACACATTCTTGGCCTGGAAGTAAAGGGAAAGGCAAGAGAAAGGACATGGAGAGAAAGAAAGTCGACTTTAAAGCTGCCAGAGTGCTTGGGGTGAGTGTTTACTAAGAATTTCGTTCATCTTCGGAACACAAATCTGAGAGGTTTTCATTAAAAAACCTTCTGGAAATCAAGCTCACATATTAAAGGGATAGTAACTCAAAAAGTAATAATTTACTCACCCTCACATCATTACAGCTGATGAACACAAAAGAAGATATTTTAGATTAATGTTTCAGCTGTTTTGTTAATAAAAGTACAAAAACAAAAGAATATATATTTTTAATAATAATTCCTTTTGTCTTTTTGCATACAGATATATTAAAATACAATCAGACATTAGAAATAAAACTCAGAGAAAGTACAACTTGAATAAAATGCATTTTATTTATTTATTATTTTCTCACCTATGCAACAACATATTGAAACGACGCTCTGGTGTAGTGAAAATTGTGACAATTACCGACAACACAGTGTAATAGTTTTGAGCTTCTGATGCTGTTTTTCACGCTGTGATTGTTTTAGTCGTGTGTTTTATACGTGTGTTATAAATATATGTTTTTTTTTATGTTAGTTTTAGTAAGGCTTTGTGTAAAATGTTAATACAACATTGTTAGGCCTACATATTCTGTGATCTTTCATTAAGAAGAAACTAAATGCATTTTGACAGGAAAATAATTAAATACAAATTCAATTTCAGCATTTCAAACTGATTGTTTGTGATTAAATATTTAAGGATAAAACGTTAGTTTGTGATTAAATATATGACTGATAGCACTAGTTTTTGTGTTTAACATGCATGTTTTGATTATTCATAATAATCAGTTAATAATTATGTTACAAAGCACAGTCTGCTGTGTTAAGCTCTGGTTTAAGAATTTTAGATTACTGCTTTACCTGTTATACAGTATATAGTAATTGTTGTTTACATAATTTTCAATGCTCCAATCAATTTACGTGATCATAGCCTATATGCCTAAATTTAGAAACCATTTCAGAAGTGATTTATTTTTAATGTTTACCACACGCATAGCATTTAAGAAGCAATAAAATATAATATAATTACCGGCCCTCAAATTTGATTGGATGGACGCTGTTACAAGAGTGCTGAAGAAAGAAAGAACCTTTACCGATATGAAACCATTCTGTGTTTCCTCATTCTGAGAACAGTTGCTTTCCTCGATCCAACGATGACTTCCACATATGTAATCAGTTTAAAGTTTCTTCCATACAGGTAATTCTGGTGTTGTTGCCGTTGTCACAAGACTGTGATCTTCTGCCAAGAACATCAGGCCAATCCATCTCCTGTCCAGAAGGTGGTTTGTCTCCGTCTGGCACCTCAGCTGAGACCTGTCCACTATGGGTGACCCTACCAGTAGTTGTGAAGAACCAGCGGTGTAGCTCTCAGCATCACTGATGCACACAAGCCCTCACAGCACGTCAAGCTGCAAACCGTGTGAGGGACCCTAACCTACCCTAACCTAACAGGATAAAGGAATCCGCAAATCAACCAATCACTCAAAACATCCCATCAACCACGTATCAACCAAGTGCCAACCACTCGAAACATTCCATCAACCACGTATCAACCAAGTGCCAACCACTCGAAACATCCCATCAACAACGTATCAATGCATGAAAAACCACTCCGAAAGTTCAGCAACCGCACAGCAACAAGCTAACAACCTCTCAGAAAACCTTGGCAAACACGTCAACACCACCCCAAACACTGTGACAACCATGTAGCAATGCATTAAAAACCACTAAAAACAACTTAGGAGGAGCCAAAATCACCGAAAGCATCCAAACAATCTCATAGCAGTGTGCTAAAAACGTATTCATCAAAATAAAAACGTACTCTTCAAACTATAAAACTTACTCTATAAATTTAAACTCACTCTATAACTATATACAATATTTACATGAACACGCCCTGCTGTGTGAAACTCCAGCTTCCATGTGACACTGACCACTCAGTGTCTGGGCTTCTTTCTTCTGGGTTCCTCAGGCAGGGGCTCTTCACTGATGTCCACATCGATTCGTGGAGCGAAGCTTCTTCTGCTGGGTGTGGAGAAGCTCTCCGTGATCAGGACGCGTCCGTCAGGCTGCTCCGTCTCCTCCAGTGAAGGGCAGTTGAGGGTTTCCCACAGCCGCTGCTTGATCTTCAGTCCCAGCTCAAGGCTGTAGGGATGGTGCCGACCAGAGCGTGTCTTCCTCATGGGCTCCACCACAGAGCGGTAAATGTCCTGGTAGCCCTGCACACTGAAGCCATGGATGGAGACAGGCTCTTCCTGCTGACACACGTCCACTGAAGAGACTGAGGCTGTTGGATGGATGTCGGGAAGGACAGCAGCGTTCTGTAGGTAACGCTCTTCTAAACCGCTGGGTCTTTGAACTTCCACAGAGGTGCAGCTGTAATTGTGATCTAACTTGACTGCTGCCAGCTGTGAAAGATCTTGAATGGAAGAGACGCCCTCCTCCAAGAATCCCCTCAGGTGTGTGGAACGAGCCCTGATTCTTCTTGAGCGACGCATGCTGATGACCAAAGAACAGCTTCCCAAATTAGACAAATTGAAGAAACTTACTGAACTGAAGAGTTGTAAAGAGCGTGTAGCACGTATGATCAGACTTCAAGGCTGCAGGGACAGTTGTGTTGATTTCAAATGTCAACTTCTGTTGCTACTGACTTAGAATGTTGAGGCTCATTTAAATGTAAACAACACTTGATATCAGCAGTAAGTCAATTAGAGCAGCATAAGCTCTGTTACATGTACTATGATTCTCTATCACCATTATCATCGTCATTTACAGTTAAATAGGGTATATTCAGTGTATGTATGCAGTGGTGTCTGTCAAGGCCAGCATTATTAGGAACTTCTTGGAACTGCTCTGTGTTTGTTGGTCATATCAGGGTTCCCGCGGATCCTTAAAAAGTCTTAAAAAGTCTTAAATTAGATTTTTAAAATTTAAGGCCATAAAAAGTCTTATAAAGTCTTATTTTTACTTATGAAAGGTCTTAAATTTTAGATGACACTTTGACTTAGACATATCTAAAAGCTTTCCAAATTAAAACCATCTAATTAGCGTACGTATTTTTATTGATTTATTATTCTATCTTTGTGGATTTGCTAGTTCACGTGACATTTCGCGTCACTCGCGAGTCGCGGCAGCATAACTGTCTCCTGCACGCGAGAGGAGAGAAGGAGAAGAAAGGTCGTAAATGTCAGTTCAGTTGTAAGTTCATTCTTTATGTGCGTATGGTGTGCGATGTGTATTGTCTTTTATGATATTGCAATCATTGTTTTAACAATGTACGAGGCACTGCGAGCTGACATCGCATTTGTCTCTCGTGCTTTCACTGCGTGATGTGTGCGGTGTAACTGTTATGTCCCCAAGTTAGTTTTTGTCTTATATTTATATCATATTATGTTCTTATATTAGAATATCACATCAGAAAGAGTGCCGTTTTCCCGTGCACGATTCCAAGTGTGATATTTATGTTATACAACAGTTAAATTAACAATAAGTTAACATTGAGTTACTTTTTAGACACAATATTGTCAATATTGTTTGTTTTCCCTTTATTTCGCCGACTTTAATTTCAAAATGAAACCGTAGCAGAGTCTCAATGCAACCGACAGCGATTATTTCTTGACTGAAATCCGCGTTTTGAACGAATCACTTGCTTCTTTCCCGAATGAATCAGCCGTTTGAACGAATCGGTTGAATGAATGACTCACTTATTAAGACAGTGATTTGCCGCTGCGGTTTCATATTTAAAGTACCCTTTAAATAAAATGTTAAAATTAGAAATCATTTCATATTTAAATATTGAATATTGATTTAAAAATATATATCTCATAGCTTTATTTATGCAGTTGTAAATGGAGTGTAAATAAATTAATGCCACTTCTGATGCCGCTTCTGTCACCTCTGCACTGCAAAGATGGATTTTGATTGAATGATTTAATTTGACTGTAACAGTGGTACTGTATGATTATTATATAATTAAGTATTATTGTATAATTACTGTATAATTTAATTTGAATGATAGTATTTGACATTAAAGGTGATGCATAACTCTAAATAAGTTTAGAAAAAATGTCCATATATAGGTGAAAATGCCCCTGAAAAAATCAATTTAAGGTGGCAAATATTGCCCCTTAATTAAAATATTAATTTCTGTCACTGCTGTGAACTGACCACAGCATAGAATATGAAAAATATGAATATCTTCGTGAGTCAGCTGTCAACAATAGACCTAAACCAGCCATGGCACCAGCACAAAAACACAATCAGTAAAATATCATCTAATTATTATCAACAAAACGTTGAAAATATCAAGATATATTTTTGTCAATACTGCACAGCCCTAATGTACGGTATTAATTTTGATTTCTTCAGGTCTTAAAAAGGTCTTAAAAAGCCTTAAATTTGACTTTCAAAAGTGTGCAGGAACCCTGTCATATAGGCTATCTGTGTTTTCAATTAATCTTTTAAGTGAACGAAACCTTCTTGCACCGACTCGTATCTACCTTTGTAAACTGAATTCTCTTCTTTTTTAAGTTCATAAATGCTTTGGTGACTTTTGCTTCCAAAATAACACTCTAGTGCGGCCTGAGAAAGAGCTTTTTGTGTGTTTTGAATCTAAACAGTCAGTGTTTTGAGTCTGACAGAGACAATCTTGTATGTGAATGATTATACAAATGCACATGCTGCTGATGATTTTTTCTCCCATCATTAAAAGGAAATAATTTTTTTTAACCCTCTGGGGTCCTTCATTTCAGAGTCACACTCAGGACCTTCGGGTCCAAATGGGCCGGAAGGGTGGGATTAATATTTATAAAAAAAAAATCATCTTTTTTTTTTTTTAACTTGTTTTTTATAATATTTTTTCTTTTCTTTTTTGGTGTTTTGAGATAATTTCAAAAATAAAAATGATTTATAATTAATATTAATGCAATAATTATGACCCATTTTTTCCCCATTGAATATAATAGAAATTAAAAAAAAATATTTTAATTGTTTTAAATTTTTTTTAAAGCTGTATTTCATTTTAGAGTCAAGCCTAGGCCTCATGAAAGCAATTTTTGAAATGAGATGGATGCCATCTGGTGGACAAACTGAGCATTTTAAAAATTCAAAACCCATATGTAATCTGAATTTATTAGTGTGTATGTGTATAAAAGTGTGTTTGTGTGTGTGTGTGTGTGTGTGTGTGTGTGTGTGTGTGTGGATGTGTCTGTTTTGCACTCTTGATGTTTTATAGATTCACCCCTTCACTGTTGTGTGCTTTTTTTCTGGATCGTGGCTGATTTGTAGTTTGTACGCACAAAATAACTCTGTATTTTCACATTTTTGCCAATTTCCCATTCATTTCCTATGCGGGTCCATTTGGACCCGAAGGTCCTGAGTGTGACTATTTTTTTTACAACCACTTAGACTATTCAAATCCTGTCCCCAATTTTTTGGGGTGTTCATATGCCAAGTACCAACAAAGTCACCAAATTTCGGACCAGTCCGATAAAGCAATGATTTAAAAAAAAAAAAAATTAAATGCTTCGGGTCCATTTGGGCCGAAGGACCCCAGAGGGTTATTATTATTTACGTAAGGCATGCAATGGCAACCGCCGCACTCTTCCTGTGGGCTTATGAAGAAAGAAGAAAATAATGAGTTTGAGATCTGCCGGAGGATTTGATAGAAACTGGGGTGAGAAGGAAGAGAAAATAGTGTCACAGAACATGATTGTAAAGTAACATTTTAATTAATTTCATTGTATTGAATATTATTTTTCAAAACTGTTGTAATGGTCAGCTGTTATTTTTTGTAGCAAATGTTACTCGAATTACTTTGGAAACATTCTTGACCTGGAAGTAAAGGAAAAGGCAAGAGAAACTGGTTAAAGCAGAGCAACATGGAGAGAAAGAAAGTCGACTTTAAAGCTGCCAGAGTGCTTGGGTAAGAAAAAAAAAAAAGGGGAGCCCTTCGCCTCCCCATTTCAAGTCCTTGAATGAGCCAGGAGGTCTTTCTGTGTGGAGGTTGCATGTTTGTTAGGTATGGGTTTGTCAGGTGTTTCTTTTCCTGAAGGGATGATGTATTTTTGTAGGAAATTATTTAGCATTTTAGCACTCCATTGTGCTGAAGTCAGTGGGCTTTTTGAATGGGTTTTTGTTTTGTCGCAAACAAACCGAATTAGTACTGCAGGACTGAATGTAGGCTAATTGTTAAATAACCATTTAACAGTGATAATAATGTATCATTACTGCTTAGCTAAAAGGTGGAAAATTTAGCATTTGAAAGCATGCCATAAGGTAGGGTTGGGCAATATGGCAAAAAAAAAAAAAAAAAAAAAAAAAATATTCATATTGAAGGCTATGAAAACAAACATAGTGAATATAACCTTGAAGTCTGTCTATTATGTGCAAAAAAAGGGTCAAATCAAATCACATTACATTTTAACATCGTAAAATTCCAATCTAAAAACAAAATAATGCTTTTTAAAGAAGTAGTTAAATTCACTAAACTTAAAATGAAAATAAATAAAAACAAAACCGCTATCATAAAAATACACTTGTAGGTTTGAAATTCTACACATAGGCCTATCACATTTATATTCTTCAACAACAACAAATATTCAACAACAAATATTTTAGCAAAAGGATTTATATTTTAGTGTTGATGATTGTTAGTCGGAATTATGTTAGTCGGAATTATTGCGCTCATATTCTATGTTAGTCGGAATTATTGCGCTCATATTCTTCGTCTGTTTGGCGCGCGCGCTCGTGCAAGTTTAGCTTGCAGAAGGAATGCTTGATTTTCAAACATTTACAGATGGAGAATATGTCCGTGAAATGTAAGGTATGCACTGAGGAAATTACTGGATGTCACTTCAGCTTAAATAGTAGGCCTATTAATAGAGGTTGTTTCCACCAATCGCTGCACAAGTTAAGGTTATGATGACGAAAGGACGTTAGTTCCATAGAGTTCTAGTCCTCCCGGAACCAATAGAGAATGCTTTGCAGTGCCTGCAGTTCAAAAAAAAAAAAAAAAAAAAAAAATTCTATGGAAGTAGGCCTATATGGGAACCCTGGGCAACTCTCGGCCAGAGGGAAATCGCCCAAAAAGGGGCGGTACTCCACAGAACGCGACTTGACGCTGATTGGACTTTATCCCGAGGCAGAGCAACAGGCTTGTAACTCTGCGGTTGAATGTGAATGGGATTGAAAAAATCCGTCCTTTTTGCACTTTGGTGGTAGCCTGGGAAAACCCAGACAACTTCCGGCAAATTTAGATTTGCTCTGAAAGTTAGTCTGGCAAAGAGCTCATTCAAGCCCATTTCCAATCCGTCGAAATCGCGGCACCAATCAGAAACGTTGGGGCGGGCTTTACACGATGACGACAGCGCTGGGATTTTGAAGCAGATTTTGTAGCCTATATTACAAAGATGGATGCCGCCGTCGAATATCACTCGTTCGAATCAGCTATCGCGTCTGTTTTAAGCGATTTGAACGTTTCCTTTTTGTTAAAAACCGAGCAAAGAACAACACTCGGAGATGTTTCTGCCGCTCTGCATACGTCATCTCCTTCATCGCTCTGATTGGTTTTAGGTCTATCCGCGACGTCCGTTGGTGACGCCCCTCTGGAAATGATTTGTCTATGACGCTTTGCCAGACCTCAGTTACAACTGAGAATGGTCTGGTTTTAACCAGGCTAGCTACTTTGGTGGTTGTGCATCACCCAAATGAAGAAACCGCCCCTGGATAAGGTCTGTCTGTGGTTAACACAAGCTCAAAATATTTTACATTTTAAAACACACCATATAGCCTACCTCAGTATTTTTGTTCAAGCTTTTACATGTCTTATAAAAGGCGGTTGAAGTGGCTAAATGGGACTAAAGATTGTTGGGAAGATTAGACGTTATCACACCGAACAGGAAAACTCATCTAACGTTACACACTAGTCCGCTTTTACCGACTCATTTTGTTTATAATCACTCTCTTGCAAACTAAGGCTGTGTTCACGCCATGTTGTAATTACCGTAATTATGAGATGACTCAGAATTATGTGTTTCTATGGCAACTATCAAGACCAATATGAATCTGCAGCGGTCATGTGAGTTAGAAATCGGAGCTCTCAGAAAATTCCACGTTTACAAATTGTAGGAAGATGCTTTTTACAGGTCGGAATCTCGTAACGGTAAACAATATAGCGCGTGAACACCTAGCGTTGACTGCTAATACTGCGACTGACCATTCAGAATCAAGTATTCCAGAGAGCTGTAATAAATGTAAATATTTTCAACAAAATGGCAATAAAAATAAATTATGAACTTTGTCTAGTGAAATTATTTTTATGAATTCAAAACTAACTATTTGGTGCCTGACAACTGCATCCATGCAACAATATTATGGAAACAATGAGATAAAGACAATAAACACACATTCAACACAGCAGACACGCATTTCTTTCCACATCTCTCCCAGAATGATTTAAATATAGAACAGATGAAGGCAGTAAATAGAAGTTATACAAGAAATTTAAATTACATCAAATCGCATAGCTTGTTAATGGGTTACACCCCACCTGTGCAACTGGGATTTATACATGGCTAGCTAGTTCATTCATGTGCCCTCGTAATCTTTAATCAAAAAACTTCCCCCTCCCTCTTGCAGCAACATCTCTTCTCTGATGATGTGTTTACTGGTGTGAGTCGCTCACATGAGATCACAGCAATAGCAAACAACTATCCACTCAGATATATCACAATAGGGAAGACAATACTATCACAACTTCCATTTCATGCTTAAAAAAATGATGTTTTCTAAAAGTGTAATATAACAGACTTTATAGGGAAAAATGTTCAGTACCAATCCTAAAAACGAGAAAACAAATGTATCTTTTGGCCCCCTCTCCTCTGGACACTTAGTGAAGGACCCTAGTGGGCTCTACTCATCACATACTGTAGCAGGACAACATTTCTGATTTTAACACACAAAGATCACTGATAAACTGAGCCTTACTTATAGATAAATTGTCAAAATATGCCAAATTTCCCATACTTTCACCCTATTTTATGTTGTGTTCTGGATTGGATCTTCAAATGTAGTACAACACTGACATCTGCTGGAAGTGTGGTTTCGGCATACCTTGCTAGTTCATGAAAATATTATAGAATTTTTACTCTAAAAGGAGAAGCGGAGCCCATCTGTCACATTTACCCCCAGTTTCACAGACAAGACTTAAACTTAGTCCCCGACTAAAATGCACGTTTGAGCAGTCTTAACCGAAAGCAACTTGCACTGACATATCTTAAAATATACCTATCTGTGCCATTGTTTTGTCTCAAGATGCACACAGAAATGTTTTTTTTTTCTAAGGCATGTTTATAAAACCTACTTAAATGTCTTAATTGAAGTAAGGCCGAATCCTGGTTTAATCTAAGCCATGTCTGTGAAACCAGGCCTTGATCTCTGTTTAGAAACATATCTTTGAGTGTGAAGTATTAAAATAAAGCGTCTATGAAATTATACCATTCAAATACATTGTATTAGGCCAAAAGGGATATGAACCGTAATTGGAAGTATTTGTGTACTTTTGAACACTTAAGTCACACTTAGATATGTCTCTATATCATTGAATTATACATAATATAAAACCAGGAGGCATCTGCACAAATAATGCTTGAGATTTTCCTCAGAACTAGCATTTTTGCAATGACTTTTAATCATGTCCCATGTTTTTTTGGGGTTTTTTTCATATTAAGTCAGTCCCCTAGTAAGTTTACTTCACACAGAGTAACAGCAGGCGTTGCTATGTATCATTTTATCATTCAAAACCTTGAAATTATTTGTTTGTTTGTTTATGTACAGAGAACTGTTTTGTTTTTGCTTTTGTTTGTATGCTCTATCTTTATTTATTTAAGCTGATCACGTTTTGTTTTATAATCCAATTTCATTCATACTTTTAAGTATAGCGTAAGTGTCCAAACACTTGTTGGGGCCAATATTCCCCAAATAAGTGCAAATAAGTGTTGAGTCCAGAAGCGTCACGCGCCAGCAGGTGGAGCCGCGTCATTCAGTGTCAGTTTCAGAGCTTCAGCGCCAGCTCACAGGGGGTTTCATCAGGTTGACAGGCAAAGGAAGAGACGCAGTAAGCGAAAGCTTCTCAATACTAATGGGTACGGCGCTTTTCTCGGCACCAATGCAAAAGGAGTAGATTTTGTTTTGCTCTTTTGAGAAAGAAGTCTGAAGTAAGTGTGAGAAAGTCCTCGCGCAGTTTATGGTAGAGGCTCAGTAGAGTTTCAGAAGAAGCAGGATGTACCATGAAGACGGTGTAAGCTCTATCAGACCTCGATATGGATGTAAGTAAGAGCCACTTCACTTCATGTCAGTTATATGTAACTATTCTATTAATTTTATGAAACGAAATGAGTATAAATTGAATGTGAATTTACTGTAGTGCCCAATGTCCATGACAGTTGGCCTGCAACAGTAATCTGACATCCATGATCAGTCATGTTTTTTTGGGTGATTCCCCCTGAAAAAAAAAAAAAATTACAATTTTTAAAAAATAAAATATGTATGTTTTAAAAAAAAATGTATTTTTTTACAAAATATTTTCTCAATGATTATTCAGAATTATTTCGAAGCACATTGTAAAATGTGGTAGCATGTAGTTTTTGCCTTATGATCTATTTCTACCTGACCTGATGTGATTGATTTTCAATAGTGTAACCTAATGCATTGCTGATTTTAAATCATATTTTGGACTCGAATAAAGTCAGTTAACTTTTATTAGGTTACATGAACATGCTTTTTTTTAGAGTGCTGGAAATGTGTATTTTAAGTTACCCCTATGCCTCTCACTAGTTGTATTTAACACAAAGGCAAGTTTTATCTAGAGATGAAAGATTGATATACAGACAGTACTGATTATTTCTGTGTTCGATTACTGATATGCAGATCTGGCGGTTGGTAAAGAGTTGAGTCATTTTTTTGAAACAATACATTAAATAAGTGTTACTTATTCCTTCAAAGTTTTAAGGGATAGTTTGCCCAAAAATGAAAATTCTGTCATAATTTACTCGCCCTCAACATGTTTCAGACCTGTATGAGTTTCTTTGTTCTATTGAACACAAAACAAAAACGTTTTTAAGAATGTTGGTAATCAAACAGTTGATGGATCCCATTGACTTCCATGGTACGAAAAAAAAAAAAAATACTATGGAAGTCAATGGGGTCCATCAACATTCTTCAAAATATCTTATTTTGTGTTCAACAGAAAAAGAAACTCATAGAGGTTTGGAACAAATTGAGCGCGAGTAAATGAAGACAAAATGTTCATTTTTGGGCGAACTATCCCTTAACGTTCAGAGGTAGACTGAACTGATAAAGTAGAAAAGTGTGAAAACTGTTTAAAATTATATGATTATCAGTCGATATCCATAGAAGAAAAAAAAAGAAACACATAGAGGTTTGGAACAAATTAGGGCGAGTAATTGATAACAGAACTTTTCTGAAACATTAAAAATGTCTTTTGAACCCTACAAATATGCAACTATTTTGTCCTCTGTCCTGAGCTAGATCCCAGAACTTTTCCTGACATATCCTGATGGTATGTTGCCTCAGAAAGGTGCTTGTGTATTTTTGGCATTAGATCTCATGCTGTGGCCTGAGCAAAGAGAAGCTCCATGATAGTTTTCTCCAGTTAAACATTACCTCTGCCCTTTGTAAAATCACCTGACAGTCTGTACAGTTCAGATATTTGAGGAATTCTGTTTGAGGAGTTTATCTGTGCAGGTTTTATTAAACACACATTGCGCCATGCTGACAATACGTCTATACGGTGTATATCTAGAATGATTAAGAATGTTCAAGATGCTGTTTGCGTAGCGCACATTTGATTCTGGTGTGAACTACTAGTGGTTGTGCATCAGAACCTGCTAGTTTGAGATTAACTCCACCATATCAAATCAAGGTTGAAAGATCTACTTGAGCACTTTTTGTCAGCTCTTTAAATGAAGTTTACTTAACTCGTGTCAACACTGGCACCGAGATCACATTCCAGCTAAACTGCTGACAAGGCTGCTGGTTTCATTCTGCTGATTTATCTAGGGTATTAGCATTTTTGTTATTAATTGCTTTTTTTATTCATAAAAAGCTGATTTTTAGATATGACAACACATTCTCATATTGGATTTAACTCAAAAAGCTGTTCACAACTATTCCCTGTGTCTTATGCTGTTTGTTTGAAGATAAATGGTTGGGTCAAAGTGTGCATCACAAGGGATGGCATCCTTTGGTTGAGGACCGACTGTGCAGGATACAGGAAATGACATCATATTGAGCAATGAAAACTGAAATGCCATACAGTGCATCTCATTATCATGTGAGGGAGCTGTGACACATATTGATATGAGAGATTGGATGGCCACAGTTTACTAACAGATGTTCCCCTCACAACCACTATAAGTGTGGTGCGGTTGCTGGCACAATGTACATTACTGTTCAAAAGTGTTAAGATGTTTGAACGATTTTGAGATAAGCCTTCAGAAGTTATTCTAATATG